CGCAAAAAAAAAAAAAAAAAAAATTGTCACATCAAGGAGCCTGAAGATTGCATTCCAGGACTTTGGCTCATTAAAATCTTCTCATATGGTAATATGTCAGTCATGCTGGATTGTCTGTCAAACTGTGTTGACCTGTGTCACCAGAACGGCAGACGGGCACCTCACTTCATAGAGGTTATCTCAAAAATTTTTTGTAATCTTTTTTTTTTAAAGTGAATCATTATTTTTCACTAACTTAAAATTGAAGTGCTATATCTTTCGGGGTCCACTTTGCTGTTATTTCAGCCACCAGAATTTGTCTTGTGTGTGTGCCTTAGAGATGCTCTGCAGAGAATTCAGTGCTTGGCTTTTTATAGCCTTCCCTAGCAGGCTGCTCTATTTCCCGAACAGGAGGTCTGAGCGTTACTGACCATCCTATGTACTTTGTTCATTGCTCTATCCCAGCTTCTGGAATATGGACTGAGTGCTTGATACATATTTGTTGAGTGAATAAATGGAATTTTGTTATTGAGTATAAAAGATAACATCAGAGGAAGTGGTTCTCTGAGAAAGCTTAGTAGCTCCCCTGAAAACAAATGTGATAAGCAGACAGCAGTGTCTGCAGTTCATTGTGACCTCAGATGGGCAGTGACAGGAAGGGGAGCTTGAATCCCATCTGCATCCTTGTCACCAGGGAAGAACACAGGCAGGAGCCTCTTCTCTCACCTGTTCCTGTAGTAAAGGGACTCGCTGTGGTTTCAGAGCAGTTCTTGTAATTTTTACATCTTGGTAAGAAAAACACCTTTATTTTGTTAGAATATTAAGCTGTTGATAATAACACTGGGGTTGTTTCTAACTTAATACGTTTCAGTTATTTATATCCCAAGTTGCTTTCAGTACAAACAGTTCTTCGTAGTGGCCCAAATTCACAGCTCTTTCTATGACTCAGAAATTCTCCAAACCCTGACTGACAGTAAATGATGAGAAACTCGTAAATAAGAAGGTTCAGTGGTTGTTTTTTGTTTGTTTGTTGTTTGTTTTTTTAACATCTTTATTGGAGTCTAATTGCTTTACAATGGTGTATTAGTTTCTGCTTTATAACAAAGTAAATCAGTAATACATATATCCCCATATCTCTTCCCTCTTGCGTCTCCCTCCCTCCCACCCTCCCTAGCCTACCCCTCTAAGTGGTCACAAAACAGCGAGCTGATCTCCCTGTGCTATGCGGCTGCTTTCCACCAGCTATCTATTTTACATTTGGTAGTGTATATATGTCCATGCCACTCTCTCACTTTGTCCCAGCTTACCCTTCCCCCTCTCCGTGTCCTCAAGTCCATTCTCTTGTTTGTTTGTTTTTGAAGTCTATAAAAAGTCTACAGAGAACAAGGAGACTTCCATCAATCTCAGCCTTAGCCTGTAAGAATATTCACTATTACTGTAAGCAGCAAACTCCCCTCAGAATGGCTGTTAGTTGACCAAGTTCATGCCTGTCTCTCTTTATTGTGTATTCATAGCGGGTGGGGAGGGGTGGCATTGCTTTGTTTTTGATTGAATTGATTCCCCCAAGCTGTGGCTGTTACTTGTTTAGAAGAGTTCATGTGGAGTCTGATCTCAGTTTTGAAAGGGTTGTTAGGCATCATAAGTCTGTGTAAGAAACTCGCCATCATTTCCCAGTTTCAAAAAATAAATATCAGAAATGGCCTCACTTCCTTATAACTTATTTCTACTTTATTCAGTTCTCTTTTCACTTAAAAATGTTTAACTGATCTCCATCTTTCTAGTACATTAGGAAATTTATCAGGATGTGGGACAGGTGGGTGGTTTATGTCACATATAAAAACTTACTTACAAAGCTCCAGCCACTCGAAGCACAATAGGCTGGGCTGGGCCCGATACTCCTGGGCCCTTTAAGAAACAGCCCTTGGGGGCTTCCCTGGTGGCGCAGTGCTTGAGAGTCCGCCTGCCGATGCAGGAGACGCGGG